GGTCGTATATAATGTACTTCGAAACATGGGTGCACTCTATACGCGGTTGTGCCGCGTTTAGCGTGCACGTCGGACGTCTGTGACAAACATGAACGTTTAGAGCGCACCTGTGTTATCAGAATGTCAATCCGGCCCAGCAATTCCTGGAACCACACTTGGCATGTCGGCCTCCGCAGGCCCGGCCAACTTCTGCCTCCTCCTCCTTCTCCTCCCCCTCCTCTTCCTTCTCTGCCTCATCTTCCTTCTTCTCCTCCCCCCCTCCTCCTCCTCTTCTTTCCCTCCCCCCTCCTCCTCCTCCTCCTCCTCCTGCTTCTCCTCCTGCTCCTTCTCCTTCTCCTCCTGCTCCTTCTCCTTCCCCTCCTCTTCCTCCTCCTCCTCTTCCTCCTCCTCATGCTCCTCTTCCTCCTCCTCCTCCTCCTTCTCCTCCTATTCCTCCTCCCCCTCCTCTTCCTCCTCCTCCTCCTCCTCCTCCTAGGTACGTAGGGGCAACCGAAACGATACCACAGGCAAAACGGAACTGGATGGGGAGAGGAGGCAGGGGGCAGGGAGTGGAGAGAGGAGGAAGAGGCGAGGGATGAGGAGGATGAGGAGGAGGACGTGGGAGTAGGAGTAGGAGTAGTAGGAGTAGGAGGAGGTGGAGGAGGAGGAGCAGGAGGAGGAGAGAGGACGGAGAGAGGACTGGGAGAGGCATACGAGAGTGCACCTGTGTCCTCAGAATGCCGATCTGGCTCAGCAGTCCCTGGAACCACACTCGGCCTATCGGCCTCCGCAGGCCCGAGCCACTTTTGCCTCCTCCTCCTCCTTCTGGGCTGCTCCTGGAGCCATCCCAAACTACCTCACAACTCTCTGCCTCTGAACACCACCTCTTGAAGTCCTGAGCCGTCGTCCCCCTGCTGGAGCTGGGGCCCTGATAGCGTGCACCTGGCCCCCAAGAGGCCCAAATGAGCAACCAGAAAGCTTCCGAACGGCCCACGAAAAGGCCCAACAAGCCCTAAGGGTGCCTCAAACAGGATCCCCAAAAGCATCTTCCCACGAAACCGCAAGAAGCATCCAAAAGGCCTCTGACCCACAAAACCGGGCGCGGGGACGGGATGGGCTGACCAGCATCACTAGTCATCAGCCTCAGCATCCATCACCATGGCAAGCCTCCCCTCCTCCTCCTCCTCCTCCTCCTCCTCCTCCTCCTCCTCCTCATCATCATCATCACCACCACATCATCATCATCGTGATCACCCCCATCAATTATCACAGTTCCCCTCCTCCTCCCCCTCCTCCTGATCCTCTGCCCCTAAGTTTCCTCTAGCCTTTCCTCCTCCTCCTCCTCCTCAATCGTCATCCTCATCTTCCCTCCTGCTGCTGCTGTTGCTGCTGCTTCTCATCCTCATCCTCATCGGTTTCCTCCTCCTCCTCCTCCTCCTCCTCCCTCCTCCACCTCGTCCTCATCGTTCTCATCCTCATCCTCCTGCACCTCCCCCATGCTACTCTGCCTGTGTGTTGATTTTTGTGCTTAGGCTTTGGGATTGGAGGTTTAGTATTTGAGGTTTCGTGTTTGGCTTGGGGTTTGGGGTTTGGGGTTTTTGTGTCATGTTTTTAGAGTCTTGTGCATGGAATTTGGTGTCGTGGTTTGGGCCTGGGGTTTGAGGTTTGATGTTTGGTATGGTTGGTGCTTGGTGATTGGTGTTTCGTGTCTGTGGTTTGGGGTTTGGTATTTGATGGTTGGGGTTTGGGGTTTGGGGCTTGGGGCTTGGTGTTTGGTGTTTGGCATTTGGTGGTTGGAGCTTGGTGCTTGGGGTTGGAGGTTTGGTGTGTGGTGTATGGAGTTTGGTGTTTGGTGTTTGGTGTTTAGTGCTTGGGGTTTGGGGCTTGGTGCTTGGGGTTTGGGGTCTGGTGTGTGGTGTGTGGGTGTTGGCGTGTTTTTTGTGGGTGGGGGTGGAACACCTGCAAGGGTCTCACCCGGAGAACCAACCGACTCGGCATTTGGCCACGTGCACCCGGAAGACCACTCGATGTCCCGGGGAACCAACCATTTTCCCGGAGAGCCACTTTTGCTCTGGCGTTGCTCCCTCCAAGCTGGGGAGGCAAACGTACATTGACACCGCTACTGCCCTGACCTCTCCCAGGGTATATTCGGACTAGAAGGTCGAGGAAAATCCAGCCGTGGCGACGAGGGCTCTCAAGCACGAGCAGGGGTATCGGTATCTTGTCCTCCTCTGCTATTCGACCTCCTCCTCAGATACGACCGCTGGGTTGCTTGTTTATGCGGATAGGGGCATGGAAGCGGATACTAGGGTGATGTCGGGCCGAACCTGAGCTTATAAATGGGTCACAAGTGCCACATGTTGTCTGGGGGGGTTAGATAACTCCGCTAAGTGGGCGGAACCCACTTAACCCAGATCGTCGCTAACCCCACTTACCAGGCTGGTTTATGCCAGTCGTAACCCACTTTAGCATCCGCTTCTGAACCCGACAAAACGGTCACTTCATTTGAGCCCGTGGGCTCCCCGGCCCAGCCGCCAGCGCCCGGGAGTGCGGCGTCCGGAGGGCCTGCTGCGCCACCAAGGCGGTCACGCCGCCGGAAGCGGCGTGGCCCTGTAGGATCCCGCGCGCCAGCTCCGCACCGCTCGCGACCGCCATCCATGGGCGTCTTGCTGTCGCAGGGTGGGGCGGCGCCAACTATTCGGGGGCGTCCAAAAGAGGGGTTCGCAAATCATGGCTGGAGGCGTGTGCGGGACCATGTAATCCGATGGCGCACTTCAGAGAACGAGTGCCAACATAAACAGAAATCGTCGGAATTCCGCACGGAATTCTTGGATCGGCGCTGGGCGCCCCTGGCGCGCAAAACGTGCCAAGGGGGCCGACCGCCAACTATACCAGAGGAGCAAAGAGAACAGCACAGGCGTAAACATAATTTTCCGGAGCTCCGTGGGCCTCCAAAACATCCCACCAGTCCTTTAGGGCGCAGGTGGTTTAGGGCGTTTCCTCTTCCCCCTTCTTCCCCTTCATGGAAGGGACTTGATTGGCCTCTTCCTGGGAAAACCGACAAACGGGTGCCTCTCGCACCCGCTCCCCAGGATCGAAAGGCCCTAAAAAAACGAGCGGCCCAGGGCGACGCGGGTTATCTTCACGACCGCGCGCTCCGAACCACTGGAACGGCAAGCTGCCCAGGGCAGACGCTTATTTTGTGGCAGCGCAAGCGCGCGCCTCTCTGTGCCGCCGCCGGCGGCTTTCCGGCCACCCAACCTCCTCACCACCTCTCTCCTCTCGTCATCGGGGGACGCACTGGCGGACTACGCCCCGACACCTCACCTCCACCTCTCTCCTCGGCCACCCAGCACTCCTGTCTCCTCTGTCCTCAGGGACCGCACTGGTGGACTACGCCCCGTCACCTCACCTCACCTCCACATCTCTCCTCGGGGGCCGCTCTGGCGGACTGCGCCCCGACTCCTCGCCTCCACCTCTCTCCTCGGGGACCACTCTGGCGGACTGCGCCCCGTCGCCTCTCGGCTGCGCTGCGCCTCTGGCGCTGCCTCCAGCCGCCAGGGCCTTGTATCCCACGTGCAGGGTCGCCGCGGACTTGGTCATGGCCTCTGAGACTCCTGCCGCGTCTTCGTTCGCCTCCCACAAGCACTGATGCAACGCGCCGCTGTTCGACCTCCCCCACCGCTTCACCAGTTCGGTGTCCTGGAAGCAATGATAAAGGGCGGTCGCGCCGCCGATGCGGAGCGAATGGCTCTTGAACGGATCCGGCGCGTGGCCCTCCAGCGCGGCCGCCGTCTGGAGCAGCTCCTGGCTGCGCTCGCGGGTGATCGGGCTTCCGCCCCCCCGCCTCGCAAGCGGGGAGGTGCTCCTCATTGCCTGTCAGCCTGATCGGGAACCAGCGGTTGTAGCACTCTGCTGCCCTCGCTGGGCAGATCCCGTCCGGGTCGTTCGAACGGCAGTGGTTCCTCGCCTGTCCTTCTCCGTTCAAGTCCGCCTCAGACGACTTCAACCGCAGGGCCACCTCATCCGCCGCGGCGAAATGGTTAACCTGCTCTCCCTTGCACTTCGGGGCGATGTCCAACCCTGTCAAAACCCTTCTGCACATCCCAGTGTCCGGAGTGGGCGCGCTCCCCGACCCCTGATCACGAAGACGAAGGCGAATATCAAGCACAGGGACAAGGCTGCGTCGTCGGCGCAGTCGCTCGGGCTCAGCATGCTCCTGGTCCGTTTCAGCATCGTGATCGTCGCCCGCAGCTTCCTCTGCCCCGGCCCCTGCCACCTCTCGATGCCGTTGAGCGCCATCCAGATGCGAGGCTCCCCCGCCAGCGGGTCGGCCCCCCGAACATCGCACGTTGGGAGCGGATGTCCGGGACCTTTGAGCGGATGGTCCCGCGCGACCTGCGCAGGATGTTGTACAGGTGGGCCATGAACAGCAGCAGCTCCCCCCCATCCTGGCGCCAGTCCTCCCCGGTCTCCCCGCGCAGCGCCGGCGAGAGCCGACGGGTGCGACAGAAGGTCGTCCACTGCCGCCAAGCGACGCCATAAGTGGTGCGCGTGCTGCGCGCCACCGAAACCACCGCCGCCTCATCCACCAGCCCCTGGATCTCCGACTCGCAGCTGCAGTCCGGCCTGCATCCCGCTCGCCGCGCGTCGTCTCGCGCCAGCTGCCTCCACTGGCGCCCCAGACCCGAACTCCCTTGCCCGCGTCCGTCGGTCTCCGCCAGGCACCTGCTGACTGCGTCTGGGTCGATGGCGACGGGCTCCTCGTCCGCGCGCTCGTGAAGTCCAAGCCGTCGCCCCTGAGGTCCCCCGTGGCCCTGGAGACCCTGCGCAGGGAGAAAAGGGGTGCTTCGGCTTCGCCGCCGGCGCTCCCGCCGGCGACGGCGGCGGGCCCCCCGCGCGCGCCTCCGCGGCCCCCCCGCGCGCGCCTCCGCGGGACGCCGCTGCAAGCAGGATTCCGCGAGTCGAGCCCTCGTCGCCCGAATTGATGTTTCGGGCTTGCGACGAATGCAAGACGACTTGGGAATCCAATGAACCCCAGCGAACGCATATCTTGAAAACAGATGGTGGCATGCGCGACGGAGCAGGCCATATAACAGTGTCATATGGAGCGCCCTTAACGACATACGCGAAAGCAGCGCGCATTAACGCGCGCGGCTCGCTTTCGCACGATCGCGCCCAACCCAGCGGACGCCCTGACTAGGCGTCGCCGCGCGCCTGCTCGCGCGACGCAACATTCGGCCTGAGCCAGGAGACAGCGCGAGTTCACGATTGCGCACGAGACAACCCAAATCAACGAGCGGCTCGAGCGAAACCCGCGCGGACAGCGCGATGTCTCGGGCCAGAGGGGGCACGATGCGGCTTCGAAGAAGGGCCCGCGGCCCGCGGGGGGGCCCGAGACGGCGCGGGGAGCCAACCAAAGTCGAAGATGTGAAACGGTTGTTCCAGTGCCTTCTTTTTCGAATCCCCTGAGAGCCTCCAGGGCGCCGGGCAGGATCCTGAGACGCCGCCAGAACCAACCGGAGTGGAACATCCGAACCGGTCGTTTCAACTGCTCCACTCTGGCTTGCCCGCGCTGGAGGGCCCGTTGGAGCCCCTGCCGGGGCCCATGTTCGGGGCCGTCCAGAAGTTCCCGGGGCGCCCGCAGAAAGCGTCGAAGGGCGCTCAGACGGCCCCAACATCCAACTTGAGTGGGGCATTTTCAATGAAGTTTTCAGATGCCCCATTGCGGTTTGATGTCGGGGCTTTCTTTGGTCTCTCTTCGAACTGCCTCGGAGCCCCCAGGGGCCCGCCAGGGGGGGCCCATGAGAGCCCCGAGCGGGCCCCGAGAGCCAATCGGAGTGAAGCAAGTCTGATCATCAGATGCTTCGCCCAGGCTCTCTCGCGGGACCCTGCGGGGCCTCTCCCGGGCCGTTTCGGGGCCATCTGGAGACCCCTGGCAAGCTTCAATGAGGCCTGGGAAACGGCATCTAAAAACCCAAAGAGCAAACCAAGAGCAACCAAGAATGAAGGATCTGAAACCACTGCCGTTTCATATTCTCCAGATTCACCCGAGACGTCCAATGTTCGCAAGGGCCGCCTTCAACAAAAACGTGAAAGCACGACTTGGGGAGCCACGTGATAGGGGCTGCATCTTGAGAAACCATCGGTAACGCGCTCCGCCAGCATATAAGCGCAGTCCGCGACTGATCCACGGCATAAACTTACCAGACGGCTAAAGCACGGAACCGCTGATTCGTTGACTTCCCTAATGCGTGAGAGCAAGGCTTCAACGATTCGTTGGCATCAGACGCAGAACAAAAAAAACTAATGCGACTGCATCCTTCAGGTAGCGACAGCGGCGCGCCGGAAGCTCTTTTATTTTGTCTCGCACCAAACAACCAACCGTAAGTATTACCAGTGGCACTTCTAAGCGAGCAGTGCATGCGCTGAAACGGCCTGCCGTTGTGCCGAACGGCCGATGGCCTGGGCGTCTCTCGCCAGCGTGAGTCCGAGGATCCTCGCGGGGGCGCAAAATGTTAATGAGTCGCACCCCCGCTGCAACCGACTGGCCCGAAGATCGACGATTGTCGCGAGCCAATGATTCACGCATTGCATCCCCGCTTCTGTCGAGCACGCCGTGCGACTCGGGCCTGGATGGAAACGGCGCAATTTGTTCACGCGGTTGGCAAACTCAAGAATGACGAGATGGTGATGGGCCATCGGCCCCGCAGCTCGGGAAAACGCAAAAGCAACTCTCAACTTCAGCTGCGTTGCGGTCAAGCATGCCTTGTTCGGGGGCGGCCTGGTCGATCCCCCAGCCTGCCATCAGCAGCGCGCGCGTGGCGAGGCAGGCCTGTCGGGCCCGACCGGCAACGACGCAGGCAGGCGCGCGCGCGCGTTGCAATCTCGGGTTCGAGCTTAATTCAGGCCCCCCCAAGGCAAGGCTAATCCAACCGACCCAATACTCTCAAAGCCAGACCTCTCCACTGCGGAATGCGGCGACGAGGCGCTGGACAATGTTCTAAGAGGCCCATGGGGAGCTCTGGTTAGCCTCCGAGAAGCCACGAGGAGCTCTGAAGGCTCTTCACCTCTCCGTTTGGCATCCGAGGGAAAAGCGAAATCCCGACAGGCCCCCGCGGGCATGCTCGGGGCGGAATCCTACAAACTGGGGCGAGCAGACCTGGCAGCGCCCCCAGAATGTCCCGGGCGTGTCCTGGGGGTGTCCCGGGAGTGTCCTGGGAGTGTCCCGGGAGTGTCCCGGGAGCGTCCTGGGAGTGTCCCAGGAGTGCCCCGGGAGCACCCCAGGGGCAGCTGGGGGGCGCCCTCGGGCCCCGGGGAGGCAAGTGAGCTCGACAATTCCATGTTGGAGCCCCCCGCGGCCGTCCGCGCACCGCGAATGGGCCCTCGGTGCGTCTCGGCCGCGAACGTCGCGATTTGCCTTAGCATGGGCGGAGGGGGGCGCGCCCAGGATTGATCTCCTGACCATCCACGCGGACGGCTTGCACCCCCCGCCTCGCCGACGCGGCCGAGGCGGCCGGAGCGATGGCAGGTGTCTCAGCGGGGAATCGAACACCCCTGTTGAACTTGAGCTGCCCTAGGGGCGAAGTTGCTCCATCTTCGCGACTGATTTTCCAGCGGGTGATTTGGGCCGTTATTTTCAAGCTAGCCCAGCCCATGAACATGTCGCGCGGCCCCCGCGGATAATCGCCTCACGCGACCTCCTCGACACAATGGGGAATACTATTTCTGAATTGCACTGGTTCGCGACAGAGGTCGACCGCAGGCGAGGGACTGCGACTTGCCCATGAATCAGCTGCGCCTCCCCGCGCAATCTAGGATGCACATGGTTGCGCGCCGCCCTTGCGCTCGGCCGTTCGACGCTGGGGCGGGTCGCCTCTCTGCAAGCGCTTCGGTTTAAGATGTCGCTGGCGATGTTTTCGGCC